CCCTCTCTTTGAAAACATTTTTGTTGTCATCTGTCCTTCGAATTACCAAAGCATTACAAGTGCACTGTTAAACATTTAAACATTGTAGAAATACACAGAACGCAGGAAGTTAAAATCCTAACCTGAGCTGCCTGGGGATGGCCACTACTGAGTTTGTGGCATTTTTCTCCACTTTTTTCCCCAAATGTATATTATTTTATGTCATTCATTTTCCAACAGGGGATCATACTATACCAGCATTCTCACAGTTTGATTTTTCCAGCAGCGATGTGCACCCTGTTGGGGGCCCGTAGCCACCTTGGTAAACTGTTTGTCCTGAGCAGGACACCTGTCGCCATGGGCAGCCTCCACGGCGATGGGCTCGGAGCTGCCCGCATCAAGCCCCATTGAACGGCAAGCGGACTGTACCTACTTCTGTGCCCCTACCCTGTTCTAACCCCTTCCGTCCTCCTCCTCACTCCTCCCTTCCCTCCTCTCCGGCTGGCCTTTCCTCCCTGCCTCGGTGTCTCTTGGTGCCCCGAGGGAAGGCCGGAGGCACAGCACATCCAGCAGTAGCCACGCTGCTTTCGAAACCTTGCCGGCCTTGCAGCTCACAACCTTGACATCGCTGTGAGCCCTGATCTCTATGGCGAGGATTTACTGAGCTGTGGATCTTGGGATGAACCTTCAGCTTGGAGCCCACAGGTCTCGATTCATTCCTGACTCTCTAGTTAACTTGTTTGCTCATCTGCAAAACAGTGGGGAGGGTAACAGTACCTGTCAGGATTAAATGAGTGAATGCTCAGAAGTGCTTGGCAGGGAGCCCAGCACCGTCAGGCTGGCGGGTGTCACTGCTGTCACAGCTCCATCCGGGGGCTGTCTTGACACACTTCCCCCTCGTCCAGGCCAGGAGATCCCCAGCTCCTCCCCTGCTCCTGCCCTCAAGGAGGGGTGGCCAGCAGGGACCGCGCCCCAAAAGCCAAATGCTCTCTTCAGGTGGAATTGGCTGAAAGCCATAGGCACTGTGGTTGGGAGGCTGCACAGATCGGGATGGAGACCCCCAGGGACAGACTGGGAGCTGGGCGACCTCGGGTGTCCTGGCTCTGCCCAGCAGCTGTGGGACCTCAGCGCATCCCTGCACCCTGTGTGGCCTGTTCCCTGAGGACACGGTCTCTGAGGCCTGGCCCACCCCCGGGGCCAGCGCAGAGTGAGGGGAAGGCCATGCAAACACACGTGTATAATTTCCCTTTCAGTCCAGCAGCACTTAGAAGGGCTCCGCACGCAGAGGCGGCTCCAGCTCTCCCAACCCTGCCCCACTCCTCAGGGGCATGAGACGGTCTCTGGTTTTAGTCCTTCTGCTGGCCCCTCCTGTTTTAGGGAGATTCTTCACCAAAGAGGTAAAGAGAATCCTTTTCCCTGCCAGGCTCCGGTACCATAAAGAGGTTATTGGTGTAAGTGGAGAGCGAGCCGTTCAGAACCGTGTGAGTGACGTCGTCAGAAGGGTTGTTCAGCAGTCTCCGCAGTTTCTTCCCACGGTTTGGCCCACGCTCCTGTCGCGGCTCTTTGCAGGTCTCTTTCTTCGCGTTGATTCGTGTGTCCAAGCAGTGGACACATAGGGAGGCTCGTCCCCAGTCAGGTTCCATGGACATGACCTCATCGTTCTCTCTCGTAAACCTGGAATGACAGGCAGAAAGGACACCCAGTGCGATTTTTTCTTTCACATTTAGGGCACTGAAGAATGGACTTCCTACACTCTACAGTAGAAATATTCGAAAGCAGCAAGCATGTAAACCTTCCGACCACAGAGAGCAAACTCCAAAGACTGAAGAAGTATCTCAGGCTTTTATACCCTCGACTTGCAAGTCTCATGAAATTTCTCGAGGGAAGGCACTAGCCCACATCTTAGAGCACAGCGCTGTCCTAGCACCTACACAGCAAGCACAGGCATTCCCAGGGGAAGGAAGCATTCCAGTACCCCAAAGGCTGAAAGCCCCTGGCCTGCTTGGTGGCATAATCCAAGGGTCCGTGAGAGAGTCTAGCCCTTGACCCGTTCTACTCCCTGGGAAAAGCTAGGCACAAGTGGCCACTGTGCAGTACAGACAGAGTGAGTGAGTGAGTGACAGAGTGAGTCTGGGTTCATCTCCCTCGCAGCAATAGAGGCCTGGTAGAATAACACAGCTGGTCCCACGGCCATGCGGGTTCAAGGCCACAGGCAGGGGGAATTTTACCCAAGCGGTTCAGGGATCACTGTTTCCCAATATTTAATTGGTTGGTACTGTCTAAAGTATATTTCCCTTGTTGTTGTTGTTTCACCTTCTATCCCTCTTGCCTCTTCATCTCATTTAGCTCTTTCTTTATTT